GTTTGCTGAAGGGGCGGCAGCGAGAAGCAGGCGGGGTTTCTGAACCCCAGACCCCCATGGCTGTGCTTTTCCCCTTCAAACTGAGCCGCCAGCAGCGTCCCATTTCAGCCCCAGACCCGGGCAGTGCTGAGGGTGCCCGCCTCTGAAAGAACCCATTCTCCTTCTTATCCTGAAGAATCTGGTGACAGCCCGAGTTTCAGGTGCGGGCCCCGCACGTTCACTAGTCCCTGGAAGAGAACTTGGCACCTGGCCGTCACGGCCACCGTTTGCAGAGGGCTGGCTTCGACCCGCCTGACAGGTGCTCTGCACATGTCCTGTGAGGACTTCGGTCCCCACTTCACAGCCCTGCGGGGACCCAGGGCCCACACGTGGCGGGGGGAGCCAGACAGCGCCTGTGCACCTGGGTGTGTATCCTCGAAGCCTTGCCTTTCACGTGGACTCCACTGCTGTAAGAAATACTGTGAACCAGTGATCCCTCCTGGTTTTGGCGGGGAGGGCATGGGCTGACGCATGTCCCGGAACTCTTGACTCGTGGAGGCGGGTCAAATAGTGAAGGAAAACACCCTGAGTGATGCAAGCAGATCCCTTGCCTTTTCCTGAGTCTTTGGGAGGGGCGCGTCCCCCTGACAGGTGTGTTAACCCCTCCCTGCCCAGCCTGCTGGATGGCATTCTTTGTGTTCACTGATGTGCTGTTTGCCTCGGAATTTTTCAAGCAAAGGAAGCGTTTCTGAGAGTATGTAGGTAAAAGAGCAAGAAAACACACACCTTCCCCGCCCCCTCCAGCCCCACCGGTGATCAGAGATGTCCATCTCTGCTCTTCACTGCAACCGCAGTGTCTAGAGCGGGGCCTGGGTTTTTAGTACAACTTTGATAAATAAATGAATGGATTCTTTTTGCGATGGGAGCGGTGGTCATAGAACCTCTGGCCCAGAGGGAAGCACGGGCTGACCCCGGGACTGTTCCGGACCACTGGTTGTTGTCTTGTTTTTAAGTCAAGGGCTGGTTCACATGCTGCCCAGCCAGCAGATCTGAAGTGCGCAGGTGAACGCGGTTGACGACCCTGACGGACGTGGGAATATTGTCGCTGGCCCCGCGAGTCATCCTGTGCCCCCGCATCGACGGCATCCTATGTCCGCCCCAGCCGCATTCTCATTGCTCTTACCGTCAGTTTCTTTAGCCAGTTTTAGAATATCACACAAATGGAATGCCCCACTGTTAACAGTTCGCAGGTGAAGTGATATGTTTTTAAATTGTGTGTGAGGAGCCTGTGGGCTCCCCTTGGGGCATCGTGTGGTGGGCTGTAAGAGGGAGGTGCTTTGGATCCACAGTGTCTCATCTCCTGTAAATTATTCATATTTCTCCTCCTACTCTCAGGCTTTGAAAGGCTCCCAGGCTGCTGTAGAAACGGCTCCCCCACCCCACCCCCAGATGGCTGCTCACTTGAACAAAGGAGCTGAGCTGAGCTGCGCGTTCAGTTTCCCTCACTCCCTGCTCTGAGCCCTTCAGCCCATTTTACTGATGAGCAGGGCAGTGCCGTGTGTCCATCACTGGCTTGTTTTTCCTTTTTTGCACCATCCATCTTGAAGGCACCAGCTTGGAATCTGTTGTTGGATTTGTCAAGCCAATAAGTCTGGCACCTGCAGAATTTCACATTGGAGGGCCCTGGTGGTCTTTAACTCTGCTGTGGACGAGTATGCACTCATCTTTCCCGTGCTTTGTTTGAGAAGGGGCCTGGAGTGCAGGGGCAGGCCAGGGCGGTGCTCTGCCCCGTGGGCATTGTGATGGTGCTAGGAAACCCCTCCAAAAACTAGAACAGTCCCATCCCGAGGCCCCAGCTCCTGAACCCCCAGCACTTGGCAGCTGGGGGGTGGGGTGGAGGATACGCCTGGGATGTTGGAGTTTACTCTGTCTTCTGGTTGGGCGCTCGCAGAACCTCGGGAAGTGGGGTCTGGGAGCACACGCCCAGGTGATCAGGCATCACCCCCAGCCACTGCATGGCGTCAACACAGGGACCCGAGAGGTCATTTCAGCTCAGAAGGAAGACGACTCTTTCAGACAGCCCACGGGGACAAGGTTTAGGGAAGGAAAAAGGACAGATGGAGAGGTGAGCGGGCTGGCCCTTCATTGTCTTGGAGAATCCAATTTCTGTCCCTTCTAGAAATGCTGCACTCAGCCACCCCCGAAGGCCAAGGGCAGGACGCAGACCAGCAAGCGCGGGGAGGACTTGCTGCAGGCCTGAACCGTGTCTTCTCACACTGTGTCCCTGCCGTCGTCGGGTCTGTGTGTCTGTGTCTTTGTAGGGAAACGCACTGAAAGGTGGTCTGTATGCCTGCGGCTCAGCCCCCCGGACTCGGGACAGAGGGCTGACTCGGGGGCTCTGCTCTGGTTCCCCTGCCGCCTCTGTCCTCCAGGGAGTCTTCAGAGTCCTTGTCCCTTAAGCCCGTAGGGCAGCACATAGCAACAGGAGGTTAGTACTTGACTGAAGGTTCCAGGTGGACAAGCGGGGTCCCCACAGGTGTCAGATGTCAGTCTTCCGGCTTCTCCCCCAGTGGTGGGCCAGCACTGCCCACCATACCACCTCCATCTTGACCAGCCCCCCGACCCCCCGAACATCCCTTTCTCTCTCGCACGTGGGTGCCGGATTCTCCCTCCTCCACTCCTGTCAGTTGGGCTAGGGCAGATCAGACACTATAATATACTACATTTCCCCTTAGTTAGATGTGACATGTCTCTATTTTTAAATCAAGGCATCTAAAGAACGGCCTTTGAAAACATCCAAGTACTTTTAATAGGGATGTGAGAATCCACAAATAGCTGTGTGTCTTAGAGGCCAGTGTTCTTCATGAACGCTGAACAGGGAAATCCTGCCCCTTTGGTCAAGAGCGTTGTCACAAGACACTAGGGTGAAAATGTATAAATCCCAGGACAGGCGAGTTGCTCATTTATTATCAGTCTCTCCCTTTGCGGTCACTCCTCAAGCTTTAAAATGTTTTAAAACCAACTTTATTGAAGTTTAATATACATAACAACAGAATATACCCAATGAGTTTAATACATGTGTATATACGTTTGTGTGTGTAACCACCATCGTCAAGATACAAAACATTTCCGTCCCCTCGGGATGTGCCCACCCCAGCCTCTTTGTAGTCAGCCCCCTGGCACAGGTACCACAGGTCAAAGCCTTGCTTCCTGGTGCTCCCTGTGGCGCCAGCTCCCCAGGTATTCCTTGTCTGCCTGTGGCCTCGCAGGGTACCTGAGCCCCTGGCTCTGAAGCTGGGGTTGTTGGTCGCCGGCACTTGTCCTGCCAGCTCTGGGCAGAGACTGTGGAGGGTGAGCCGGCACCTCCTGTCCTGCAGCTCCTCCTGCGGGGCTCAGAGCACCCCAGGTCTTGGTCGAGAACCTGGTGGGCACAGCCAGTGAGACACCTGGAGCTCTGCCAAGGGTGATGAGGGCAGGCAGTCTTGTCAACCCCGTTTCTCAGGCTGGCCTGTGCTCGTCAAACCCCAGACCAGCCTCCTGGAGCCAGTCTTTCAGGGAGGAGGAGGGCATGGCGCTTCCAGCAGCAGGAGGGCTCTGGCCTTGGGCACCGTTTGGCCTCTGGCGTCGCCTGGGCCCTCACGGTGCCCCCGCACAGAACTGTCATTTCCCCCACCCCGACCCCAAGTTTTATTAAGGAAAATTTCAAGTACATAGAAAAACGGAATGTGTAAACAGTCAGTTCCTGTTTTATATAAACCTGCCACCTAGATGCAACCGCTAACAGCATTTTATCACATTTGCTTCCTAAGCAGTTGAAAAGATTTTGAGTTATTTAGTTTTAAACCTGATGATGCCTCGTTCTGAAGTATTTCAGCAGATAGAGCATCTCTAAGACCGTCTACAGGAGCACTCCACCTTCCACGTCTGAGACAGTTAGTACCAGGTTCATAATAATTTCATAATAAATTCATCATCTGGCGTCCAGCCCATATTTAAGTTGCTCCCAAGTGTTTGACTTTTCGTGTTTCCCGGAAGGAGTTTGCACATCACGTTTGGTTGTAGGTCTCCTTGTCTCTTTCAGTCTACTTCTGATTTTTTAATGACGCTGAGTATTTGGAGACCAGGCGGCTGTCATGTGGAATACCACCCATTCTGTGTGTGTCTGATGTGGTGCCCGTGTACTGGGTGGCCTGGAGGCTTGATCTGCTTCAGGCCCAGCACTTTAGGTGGGGCCCTGAGGCCTTTGTGTGTTTCACTGGAGGCGCTGGCGGGCTGGCCTCCATCCCTGGGTTTCCTGTGGCTTCAGGATCTCAGGGGGTGCAGGGTTCAGCTTTTCCTTGGCACTTGCACGGTCCTGGGGGTGTAGGTGCTTCGTCAGAGCCCACACTTGGCCCTCTTGTCTGGATTGAGCATAGCTTCCTGATTTAGTCGTTGGAACTCATGACCCCTGCCTGACTTGAACTTCTGGCATCTCTCAGAGTCTTTCTCTGTACATTTATCTTCATCACCTGGATGGGGGAGGAGAAATAGCCCACCCAGTAAGCGCCACTCTAAATCCAGCAGGTCTCTGGGGCCCCCTGGCCCAGGCCTGGGGCCGTTTGAGCTCTGGGCCATAGGATGCCGCCAACCCAGGCAGAGAGGTGGGGCCGTGTGCCCTCCCAGTGGAGGAACAGCGGGTGAGGGGAAGCGGGGTGGGTGTGGGCGCTGTGTGCAGCTCAGTGGGGCTGAGAGGGGAGAGAACAGAGACCAGAGGCCAGCTGCCCTCCGCTGGGAGGAGGCTCAGGAGCATCCCGGGTGAGCAGGGAGGGGGCCTCTGGGTGTCTCCGTCCTCCCAGGCCTTCTCTCCAGGGTGGGGTGTCTGTGATGCCTGGTGTGGGAACGCCCCTGAGGGGAGAAGCCCTCCACCCATGGGGCCAGTGCGAGCCTTCCCATCCTGCCAGCCTTGCAGATCTTCTGAGGAGGAAGTTCCCAGGGATGCAGGGATGCGCCGCCCTCCTGACACCCCTCCCCCGCAGGTGTGAATGACAGAGGCGGTGCCGTCCAGCGCGCTCAGCGAGGTCAGCCTGCGCCTCCTCTGCCACGATGACATAGACACCGTGAAGCACCTGTGCGGCGACTGGTTCCCCATCGAGTAAGTCCAGCGGGTCCGCAGCTGGGGGCTGGGGAGGGGGTGGCGGGGTCTTACGTGCAGAGTGCTGAAGCTGGGGGGCTCGCTGTGTTGGTGCCTTGGTGACCAAGAGCCCCCTCACCCTTCGGGGCCCCCGGCCCTGCTCCCTGGTGCCCCCGGACTCTCTGCACCTCACCATGTTCTTGTACAAAGAGATCGGGAAGGGCCTTGCTGAGAATCTTCAGTTACAAAGACTTTTCATGCAGTGCTGCTTATGACATTCAGGAAATCGAGAAGCAACCTAAGTGTCCTAACAGAAAGGAATTGGTTCCCTACATCAGGGGATATGTACATGCAGAAATACAGTATTATCCAGCCAGGGACAAAAAAATCTGTCCTCGAGGTTTATATGTTTTTGTGTGTGTGTGTGTGAGACAGTAGGTGAAAAAAGCAGACTGGAAGCCAGAATATACCACAATCCCTCTTTTATTTGAAAACATGTACAAGATAAAAACTTAGGAGGAAATGTGCCATGGAGCAGATGTTTTTGGTAGCTCTTTGGGTGGATGATTAGCAGCTACAAGTTTTGTCTGGTTATGCTTGTCTGTTTCCTGCATTTTCCTGTAACATGCTCATAGAGCACTCATAGTGAGGAAAAATAGTACAAACTCTTAAAAATTGAAAATAAACAAGATCCTGCCAACATCACATCTCCGTGAGCCTCAGCCTCAGACCTGTTGAAGCTGGTCGCCCACCCCTTACTTCCCTGATGGGAGTGTGCTGTGGGCTAGCAGTGGCTTCTTAGAAAGTGAACATCAGCCCAGCGGTGGACAGGAATCCAGCAAGTCCATGGAGTAGACCCTGCTGAGGGTGACCTGGGGCAGGTGGAGCCCCACCGGCCGGAGCCTCTGTGCCTCCGAGGAGCCCGGCCTGCCTGCCTCCTTGGAGACGGCTGGGCCGGAGGCCTCGGGTTCTGAAGACGGTGGACAGAAGTGTAGTCCCCTCGGGCCATGTGGTGGCAGCTCACTCCTGGCTGCTGTGCTAGCCTGACACGCTGGTCAGAAGGTGGGACTGAGGGGCCCAGGATAGGAGGCTGGGTGGTGCTCAGCTTCTGTGGAACTTTCTGGCAGGGGCGGGGGTGGGGGGCAGTGGCCTCTACAGAGCAGAGCACCTCCCTGGGTCTCCAGCGGGGTCTGAGACCCTCCTCTGCTCTTGGTCCCAAGAAAGGAATCCCGGGCTAACGTAGCCCGTCAGGAAACCAACCTCACTCCCACCCATCCGAGTCTCCTGGGTTGCAGCTGACTCTGCCTTTTCAGCACTGCCTCGCTGCTCTGTTCCCCGCTGCCCTCGGGGCTCTTGTTGAGCCGCCTAGCGGCCCTGGACACACCTTACCCTTGTGTGCCCGAAACTCAGACGTCACTCAGCAGTGAACGGTCCTGTCTGGAGAGAACGGCTGTCAGAAGTTGCAACTCTGAGGGTGATGCACTTTGGTGGAGACTGGGTGGTGGGCAGACCCTGAGTGGTGGATGGAGCAGCCAAGGGTCCCCTGTGGTTCCACTCTCTGAAGCACAGCAGTGGTTGGACCTGACCTTCAGCCGGTCCACCTGCGTTTGTCTCCTCCTTAGGTACCCAGACTCATGGTATCGTGATATCACCTCCAATAAGAAGTTCTTTTCCCTCGCCGCGACCTACAGGGGTGACATCGTGGGGATGATTGTAGCTGAAATTAAGAATCGGACCAAGATACACAAGGAGGTGAGTGTCTGCAGCGATGGCCCAGGGGCTGACACCTCTGGACACTGCCCGCTCTGTGCCCCATCCTCTCGGGAGCCTGGACAGCGTGTGAGAGTTGTAGGTGGTTGGTTTCGTTCTGTGTGTTTGTGACACAGTCATAACATGCATTAAGTTGCACGACCTGACTGTGGGCTTCACAGCGACCGTCGTGGTGAAGTCAGGAGGAGGGTGATCGGTACACGGGCTTCCTGTGGCTTCGAGTCATAAGAGCCGGAAGGAGGCTTCCTCCCTGAGGCCGGTGGCCATCCAGGTTAACTGTGGGGTGGAGGCTGGGGTGAGAATGGGCCAGGACACAGGCTGAATCACAAGTGTCTTTGCAGTGAGGGAGAGAAGACCTCACACACGGCAGAGCCTTCGGTTCTTTGTGAGGCAGAAGAACGTGAGAACCTGGTCCTGGTCAGAGGCGTGGCTCTCCCAGTCCGGGGGTCCCTCTCCAGAACCAAGAGGCCGCGCGGGGTGTCGGGTGGCTCGGCCACCCCCACCTGCCTCCCGCTGTACTCCAGGACCCCATGGGACCGTGTGGGATCCTCCAGTTACAGCGCCCATGCCCTGTGGGGCCACCTTGTCTCCTGGCACGTGGGCTGACACGGGCCGAGGGCCCCCTGAGCGGCGCTTCCTCCCGCTGTGACTGCTCTGATTCAGCTTCACTAACCCTCCCGCCTGGCCTACCACCCTCCCCAAGAGAAGCAACTTTGCATGTGCTGTGTTAGCAGAGGTTTCTAAGAGAAGGGCCCACACCCTCTTGCTTCAGTGGGGAGGGGGTGGCCCTCCATTGTCCCCTGTCCCGGGTTCTCCTGCCCCGGTGTCTCTCAGGTGTAGGTCCTGGAAGTCAGCCTGGGAGCTGTGTCATGCAGTGGGCCCGGGGCCTCCACTGCTGACCCGGCCGTCTCTGACTCTCTCTCTAGGACGGAGATATTCTGGCCTCCAGCTTCTCCTTGGACACACAGGTCGCGTACATCCTCAGCCTGGGAGTGGTGAAGGAGTTCAGGAAACACGGGATAGGTAAGGGGGCCCCCCAGCTCGCTGCGGCTCGCTGCCAACTCTCACAAGAACTGCTCGGTCTCTCTCTTGCTCTGTCCCTCGGCCCTCTGTCGGGGCCAGACCTGCACCCTCCCTTCATTCCCTGCCCCTGACAAATCTGCCGGCCCCACCCACTCTCGGCCTTCAGCCCATCTTCTTTCCACGTTTCGCTGGGTCTTTCTGCTGTGGCCTCCTTCCCAGACCTGGTGAGGTCAGATGAACAACCCCTTCCGAGCATCCTCGTTAGAGAACAGGCCACTCTGACCGTGCCTCTTGCCACACCCCCAGCTCACGTCCACCCGAGGGTTTTCTTGAGGAAGAGTAGAAAGTGTGATTGAGGGAATGGTCCCAGCCACGGTTCATCAGATGCCTGCCACCCTGGGGGCCCTGCCACCCGCATAGCTCCAGACTCCTGTTCTGCACGGCCATGCGGCCAGCGGGCGTCAGGGTCTCCCCTCGTAACCCAGGCCCGTCCGCCCATGTTTTCCTGGGCTGAAAGGGCATTGAGTTTCGCTGTAGGTCCAGCCCCTGGGAGGGACCGTGGCCAGCTCCCATCCTCATCCGGGACACGCAAGCCTCAGCTGACAAGCTACACCAGTGGGTCAGATGTTAGGTATTCCAGCAATGAGTGGTTCTGGAAGGTCGGCCTTTGCCTCACGCTCTCTTCCCCCCACCGCCCCTTTCCTCTCACCCTTCAGGGTCCCTGTTACTTGAGAGTCTAAAGGATCACATATCAACCACTGCCCAGGACCACTGCAAAGCCATCTACCTGCACGTCCTTACCACCAACAACACAGCCATAAACTTCTACGAGAACAGAGACTTCAAGCAGCACCACTATCTCCCTTACTACTACTCAATCCGCGGCGTCCTCAAAGATGGCTTTACCTACGTCCTTTACATCAACGGCGGCCACCCTCCCTGGACCATCCTATATCCTTTCTCTCTCAGGGGCGAGGGATGGCGGCTTCCTAGTGGGGTCTGTGCGCCAACTGAAACCACAGTTGCCTTCACGTGGCACCCTTGAGACCAAGTTCATGGGACCCAAGTGTTGTGGGTGAGTCTGTCCAGCACATGTTGACAGGATATGACAGTCTGGTGTGGACGCTGGGAAAGTAGGTGCCCCCTGGACGTCAGCCTGGCCTGAGGGGAGGGTTTTCTCCCTCCTGGCCCAAGGTCCACTCGTCAGGTATCTACTGAGAGCCTCCTGTTCCAGGTCGAGGTGGATACAGCAGTGACTCAGACAGACAGAAGCCCCTGCTCTCATGCTAACAGGGAGAGAACAAGCCCAGGAGGCAAAAAGAGCTGCTTGTTGATTCTGAACTCTGGATTCAAGCCTACCTTGTCGGGTGCGTGACCCAGCTGGGTTTCCCTGCCCTCAACCCTCCTCTTCAGCCTTCCTCTTCAAGGGCCACTTCTCTCTGGCCCTTGACAGATTCGATGGAGGCCAGGAGACTTCCTAACAGTCACAGGGAGCAGCCCCCCAAATAATGTGTGTATGTGAGAGACAGAAGTTAAACGAGTCTAGGTTTATCCATTTCACAGGAAAATAAACAGGAATGACAGGGGTGACCCAAAAGCCTGTAGGCCTGGCTCACGTGAAGGGTGGGGGGCTCTCTGTGGGCGTCCACGGGGTCAGGACTGCAGACCCCTCCTCATCGCAGGGATAGGGCCCTGCGTAGGGGCAACTGTAGCTCTTGCTCCGCCAGACCCCCCCCCGGCACCCAGTTGTGTGCAGCCTCAGTCTGGGGTCCGGGGTTGTGGGGCTGCACCCAGAAGGTCCTTTGCTACTTTGCACAGCAGAGCCCCCTCCATCTGATGGGGCTCCCAGCCCTGCAGAGGCTGCACAGGCTCATGGCCGCCCACAGAAGCGGTGTGTTATGTGCAGGCTGGCCCTGCGGGTCACCATGCTGACCGAGCGGCCCAGGGTGTGCGGGCAGGCGGGCAGGCGGGCAGGCGAGGCGGAATCTTCCTTAACGGAGCCGCACGGACTACATCCAGCACCTGGGCTCTGCTCTAGCGAACCTGAGCCCCTGCTCCATCCCACACAGGATCTACCGCCAGGCCCAGAGCCTGCTCTGCAGCTTCCTGCCATGGTCGAGCATCTCCGCTAAGGGCGGCATCGAGTACAGCCGGACCATGTGACACCAGCCAGGCAGCCTCCGCCTGGCCCCTAGCCCCGGCATCTGGCGGACGCCGCCTTCCTGGCCATCTGACTGTGGCTGTCCTCTGCAGAGGAACTGGTGGCCACCTGCCGGGCCTGTTGGCCCGCCCCAGCTGCAGGCCGGTGCTACGCGGGTTCGGGAGCAGAGCAACGTGGGGCATGCCCTGTCTCCCCAGGTACCCGGAGCAGGGGGTGCGGGAAGCGGAGCAGAGCCTAGGGGGTGACAGTCAGGGAAGTGGGGGGCCCCGCGCTGTCAGCAGAGAACAGGCGGCCCCAGGTGGGCATGTGCCACACAGGTTGTGGGTTGACAAAGCCCAGGGCCAGGGGTTCCCTGACCACCTCTTGGAAACTTTTGGAGGAAAAACAGTCCTTGAGCCCTGGCCAGAGCGTCGTCTTTTCACGTCCTAAACTCCTTTTTAAAAAAATAACATACTTACGTGTTTCAAGAAGTTGAAAAGTTGCTGAAAGATCACGTCTCCTGCCTCCGGGCCCCGGATGCTCAGCTTCTCCTTCCCGGGACCGTGTCCCCAGCCGTGCTTCCCTCGGTGTGCACTTGGCCTTGACAGCGGCAGCTGCGCCCACTCGCCCTTTGAGCTCCTGGCTGAGCGCTCTGCCCGGCCACGGCCTCTTCTGAGAGCCGTGGGGACACCAGGGTGCACTCCTGTGGGCATGACCTGGAGCAGGTTGTGGCGGGGGCCGAGCCCACATGGCAGAGCTCCGTGGCCTCCCGGGCTGGCACCCCTATTGGTGCCATGGTTTGTGCTGGGACTGAGGGGAGCTGGTGGCCCCTGGAAGGGACTCTGGGCCTGGAGGAGTGCCAGCGCCTGGCTTGGAGCTCCTAGGCCAGTTCCCCGGGGTGGGGGCAGAGCATTTCCATCCCGGCCTTCACCCTGCTCCCCTCTTGTCTACCCCACAGGCTCTCCCAGGCCTCCTACCCGCTCTGAAAACCTTCAGCTCCGCTGAGCCCCGGCCCGGCCCTGCGTGTGCGCACCGGCCTCATGGGCGGCCCTGGTGGCAGCATTCACTGTGGTCTCTTTTTTCTGCTGCCCCGGGCACAAGACTGTGGGAAGGGGCTTCTTCTCTGTGCCCCTCACCGGCCTCCCTCCTTCACAGCCTGTTCCTTCCAGCTCCTTCCTCCAAAGCCAGATTTAACTTCTTGGAGGGAGGAACCCAAGTGTTACGAACACACTTGACCCTAAAGACACAGGAGCCTGAGAACAACAAGGGGTCGAATACTGGGAACCCCAGCCCCTTGTCCAGAGCCATCCCCCAGAGGCCCGGGGATGGGGAGCAATCTGATCCCTCCACCTGGGGCTGGGGCTCCTGGGGGACAGCCAGGGAGGCCCCTCACACACCCTGAGGTCCGACTCTCAGGCTCCACTCCCCACATGGACCTCAGGATGATGGGCCGGATGCTCACACCCCCGCCGGGAGGCTGTCCTCCCACGGGCTGGCTCTGTTCTGTCCCGGGTGACCGGAGCTGCCCGGCCGACGGTGGACGTGCCATTCACCTGAGCTGCCGCCGGGAGCCAGGCTGAGGACGTGTGCCACCAAGGATCCCCAGGGTCCTGGCCCCCAGGCCCCCAGCCCGGTGAGCTGCAGCTCCGAGGCCTGGCCGGATGCAAAGGGGACAGGGGACATGCTGCACACCGCGTTGACCAAGTGAGACCCAGCCTTTGGGGCTGGGGGCAGTCACGTGCCTTGTGGTCCCTCCGTCTCTGGGGCAGAGACTCTGGGTGTGTGCACGGGCCCCCCCAGAGCTGCTCGCTGCCCACCCTGGCTTCTGGAGCAGACAGGGTGGTGCAGAGTTGTGCATGGCCCAAGAGCTGGAGAGGGAACACAGCAGGTGGAGCTGCATGACCATGTCCTTCCCTCCCTCGGAACTTCCAAGCCTGGGGGCTCCTGGGATGAAGGGCATCTGGGCAGGAGGGCCTCAGCCTCCCCTCCTCCGAGCTGACATCAGCTTCATGCTGAGGCCCAGCTAGGTGTCCTCCCTAATCTGAATCAACGATGACCATGTGATTTTTTCTTTCCGGCCCTTGGGGTAAGGGAAGAGTCTTCCAGAAGGTTCCACCTTGGACATTGGTAATGAGCTCAGAGGCCTTGCCCTGCTCCTCCATCCCCGCCTCCTAATCATTGCAGTGTCCAGCCCAGTGTTGAACAGATTGTAGTGTTTCTTCTCATTACAAATAAATAGACTTCAGTTGGTCACATTCGGTCTTTGCAGGCTGTTTGCACTCCTGGCCTTGCCCCCTGGGCCCACCCAGAGGCTGAGGGCAGCCCAGGAGCTGCCTGTCCCCTGGCAAGTCCCAAGGCCAGCTTCCAGCGCAATGGGCAATTGTTTTTTACAATTCTAGTTGTAACTTTCCCTGCTAAGGAATGTAGCCCTGGAAGAGGCTCTAGAACTGATGACAAAGGCAGTGATCAGGCAGGGGTTCTGCCTCTGGCCTCCCTGGGGACAGGGGTCATGCCTGTCCCTCCATCAGACAAATGAGGAAAACTGGTTGAGGGGCTGGGAGTAGCCCAGGAGCCTCGCATCTGTGAGCAGCGGGCCTGAGAGCCCAGCCAGGTTGGGCCCCTCCACAGCTTGGGTGCGTTGCTCCCAAGGGCTGGTCCTTCCCCAGATGGCCCTCCTGTGGGACAGGGCCTGGGGCTGGTGGCCCCAACTTGGACCAGGGACCAGCATCTCCAGAATCTGCCATCTGAGCATACAGGGTCTTCCCCTGTGTCTGGAAGGACGCCCGCTGTCCCGACGTCCAGAATGTGCTTGACACCATCACGTGTGGTCTGACAGGTGCCCACAAGAGGGGCAGGTGGGCCCTGGCCCGACTCGGGCTACCAGGACAGGAAGCCAGGGGTGGTGAGGATCACGGAGGCCAGTGATGTGGAGCAGGGGGTCTCGGCCAGAGTGATTCTACCCCCCAGGGGACGTGAGACCACCCAGAGGCTGTGGTTGCCACGCTGGGAGGAGGGCGCTTCCGGAATCCAGTGAATGGAGGCCAGGGATACCATTCAACATCCTACAGTGTACAGGATGGCCCCCAAGAGACAGTGACCCAGCCCCAGATGTCAGCAGGGCCAGGGTGAGGACCTCCGGTACAGCAAGCCCATGCCTGGGTGCCTGGAGCCTCGCCCCGCTGGGAGAAGGGCTGTGCCCTTTCTGCCTGGAGAGTCAGGGCGGCCAGGGGTCCCCAGGGAATGTGAACTCCACTGTGGCCTCAGTGATGGGCGGCATGGGGCCAGGGCCGACACTTCTGTCCAGGTTGGGAACTTGCTCTGCTTCCCGACACCCTCCCTGAACCCAGCCTAACTTTCTCTGTCCTCTGCTCTCTTCACCCAGAACACCACGCCCTGTTTGTAGGCCTGCCAAGACCCTGCCCACCCAGAGGAGGACGGCACCCTCTTCAGGGTGGGAGCACCTCGAATTCTCCTGGGAGTGACACCGAACTTTGCTCTCAAAGCATGTGTGCCAAGGGGCCCTTTCTCTGATCAAATTGGCCTGACGACAGACAGACTCAGGGACTGAAGCGCAGGCCTTGGCTTTTATTGACATTAGACCTGTAGGTTCTCCGGCCCCTCGGGAGCCCAGCTCTCCACTCCATCCGGCCTCCCCGGTACCCGTGGCTGATGTGAGTTGAAGCAGGCTGCAGGGGCATGCCCCGGCTTCTTTTTCTCTGTCCCTCTCGCTTGACCTCTTCCTCCTCCCTCCACCCTCAAGCTTTCCCAAGGCTGGCTCAGGCTCTGGTGCTGGGTAGCTGCCCAGGTGTCTCGGTGTGGGGGTGCTACTGATGGGGGCTGAGCCCTTCCCCCCCGCCCCAGACCTGTCTCCTCCTGCTCCTGGGGCCACCCTCTCCCCTCCTGTCCTGAGCTGGGAGAACCAGCTCTGGCACTTGGATCCCTACGGCCCCTCCAGGCGCCCAGAGCAGGTTCTCTTGCACAAGGGACATGTGGTCTCCTCTGGGGCCCCCCAGGATCTCTTAGGCCTGAACCCTAAGCCTTCAGGGTGACCAGACTGCAAGGGGGCACCCTTGGCTGGGTCCATGCTGGAGCTGGAAGCTGAGGAAAGAGGGGGAGAGAGGAGTCGTTCAGAGGGAGCCAGGGGAGGCTGCCAGCCCACCCTGTGACCCCTGAACCTGGCATCCTTCCAAGCCAGAGGGGAGGGGGGCAGTTCTCCTTAAAACCCCACAGGGGAGGAGAAAGAGGGAGACATGGTTCAAGCAGGAAAGACCCTTTTCTAACTCACACCCCTCACTTTACAAATGGTGAGACTGAGGCACGGCCAGTGGGGGAAAGCAGCCCGAGGTCCCTCATCGAGTGGAGAGCTGGGACAGGTACCCAGGTGGCTCGGGAGTGGAGAGGGACCACCTGGGTCCGTCTGAGTGCCTAGCCCACCCCTGCCCTGGGTCTGCCCCTCCTGTCCCTAGCTCTGTGTCACCTGGACAGGCTCACCTGTATTTCCCCGGCTGTCCCTGGGCAGTTGAGCTTCCAGAAGGGTTGAGTGGTGGCTGTTACCTCGGCCCAGAGTCCCCTGTGCTAAGTCCAGGGGCCAGACCAGGCCCTCGGGCTGTGGCAGGCAGCCACCGGCCAGGAGCCGACCCAGCCAGTGACTCTCACACTGGCTGGCAGGCTGCAGGTGGCCCGGCAGGTAGAGAGCCAGGCCCCGGAGGTGGCGCAGCCGGAAGTTCTTGGGCTTGCTTCCCTGGGCACTGGGGCACTGCTGCTGCTGGGCCCCCAGCCCCCCCTCGTAGATGTTGGGTGGTGTGTCGGGGTGATTGGTATATCCTTGGGCCCAGCTCACTGCATCTGTGGAGGGGAGAGTAGAAGGGTGTGGCCGTGAGGGGAGAACAGTCGCATGCTCGTGGGATGACCCCCACCCTGGCCTGCAGAGCCTCAGCTACCTGTCTGTCATGTGGACTCTGCCCCCTGCCTCCCATCCCCCTCATCCAACTTAGCAGTCCTCCTCCCTCCCAGCCCACAGGGA